TAATGAGATTAATGAGATTCATTCAGCTGATTGTTACCAAGCAACTGAATACTCTCTCGTTGATAGCACATGACGGGCAGTGTTTGCCTCTAATTATATGTTGGTAATGAGATTCATGAGATTCATCCCAAGTGCATTGTCTTAATTTTGCTTTTAGAATTAACTTACACTCAAACCCTAAAACTAGACGAAGATGTGAAAGGATCGACGTTTGAGATACGCGATACACTTGAACGAGTAAGTCTTTTATCTCAGATATTTTTGAAATTATATTTTGCAGTGAAAACTAAACTTTTACATAAAAATAGATACAAATTTCTCAGAATATATTATTTCACATATTAGATTAATTGTAGTAAATTAGGTTTTTTCTGAATTTCTTAAATTGCAATGCTTATCCATGACGACAATGACGTCATTAGTATCGTTAACGTATAATTCTTCGAAACAGTAATGATAAAAAGGTAAATTATACACCGTGAAAAGATGAAAAAACTTACTGACGTTTCGGACGCTAGTCTTTTTACTTCGACGAAGGACTAGCGTCCGAGACGTCAGTGAGTTTTTTCATCTTTTCACAGTGTTTAGTTTACCTTTTTAACATTACTGTTTCATTAGAAACGCCGACGCACCTCACACTATTCGATTTTCCACGATCAGATTTTTAATTTCTGAGATATCCTAGCTAATATGTTGAGCATGTGGGACATAGCAACGGTAACTAAGGGGAGTCGAAACCATAAATCGCACCCGATATCCCAGAGGTGAGAGGCGAGCGCAATACCGCTACGCCACATTTGACATCCATTCTAGCTAATATGTTGAGCTTGTGGGACATAGCAACCGTAACTAAGGGAAGGCGAAACCATGAATCGAACCCGATATCCCAGAGGTGAGAGTTGAATGCAATACCGCTACGCCACATTTGATTGCCTAACCCTGTAAAAGTCAGGAAATCTTGGGCAAATTATCAACCATTTCTTTGCACAGCAACACACTACAACACTGTATCCCACCAATACAATTAGGCACAGAGCCTAACACCCTCCACACGTTCAACTCAAAGTCATAACACTCCACTTTACTAGTTCTTTCGCGGCAATTCTTTTTTCCTCCGAGAACATAAATATTCCCGCAAACATATACTACTCCACACAATGCACGCGGCACAATGAGATTCCCAATGAAGCTCCATGTTTGAGTGTCGATATCGAAGACTTCACAGCTGTTGTGTGACGACAGGAGATCGTCCTGAGTTCCACCAATCACGAAGAGGTTTCTATTTACCGCCAGTCCTCCGGCGTACGCGCGCCGCGTCTGTAATGGCGGGACTTCTGTCCACTTGTCTTTCCGCGGGTCGTATTTTTCTACGGTGCTTAGATACACACAAACGTCGCGGTCACTATGGTGTTCAGTTTTCCCGCCAATTGCGTAGAGGTGTTTGTTAGCGATGACACAGGGTCCCCCGCGGCTTGTGGTGAGAGGGGCCACTTCCTGCCATTGGTTTGTCTGAGGATTGTACCTAAAATAACCAAACGTACATTAATAACCTACCAGCTTGGTTCAGCTCGATCCATTTCAGACTCGTAATTTACCAGTAAGGGAGATTACCAGTAATCAATTTTTATAGGGGAGAGCTGGCGCAAAGAGGAAAAGATCATAAGCTGTACATCTTAAAGTACCTATGACCCCTAACTCAATGTTTTCAGCATTGATTCTACATGAAGCTAAAAGTTAAATAGTAAAATATTTTTATATGATTTGAGTGATGCCTCCTATGACATCACACTCATTAGCATACTGGAAATATAAATCTTGATATCTCCAAGATGCATCACTCAAATCATATGAAAATATTTTACTATTTAACTTTTAGCTTCATGTAGAATCGATGCTGAAAACATCGAGTTAGGGGTCATAGGCACTTTAAAAGGGAGGGAGTAATAGACTTTACCTTCGTTGTGGTTTGTTGCTCCATTTCAGACCATGTGATGCCACTGGGAGTTGATTCTTTCGTGTGTAAATTTTTTGAGATGTTCGTCATAAAAGAACAATTCTCATGGGAGTTTCACGTGGTCTTAATTATATATAAATAGGCAATTTTCATACGAAGTTAAAGAGGTTTATTCCAGGTACACACTAACTAAACTAGGTGCCCACCTGAGACCAATTTTTGGCCTTGTCCCTTATATAGAGGTTTGGCACCTTCACGTGATGGCAGCCATGACAGACGTCAGGAAAATTGAATCTGGTGTTATTTGATTTATATGAGAAAGAACACAATTTCACAGGAGAGAATGACTCTATTGTTGTGCCTTTGACATGGCTGCCATCACGTGATGGTGCAAAGCCTTTTTCTATCTAAACGTAGGATCATCACACTAAGCGAGCCCTTACCTTGAAACACTGCTTAGAGGTTTTCCTCTGTTCCACCCTCCAACAGTATACAACAAACCATTCAACTCAGCCACCCCGAGAGCCGACACTTCCTTATTCATCGGTGCCACGCCCGACCACGTGTTAGTCCTGTAATCATACCTCTCCATACTTGACAGATGTCCATTAAGAGAGACCCCTCCTACTGTATAGATAAATCCTTCGCAGTGTACTGCACCGTGGCTGAAGCGAGGTATCAACATGGGTGCCAGACTATACCAACGATTATCACTCGGTATGAAGCACTGGGTTGAGGATCTTAACTCGTCACCAGGTCCCCAGATGGTCACAATGGCATCGACGTATTTAGTTATACTCGTCCGGGGCTTGGTGACTATGCTTAGTTCGCTCATTTGCTTAGGTAGGACATAGGATTTCATGGCTTGGTAAAGAAGCTTCACACATTCTGAACTATTCATTACGAGCTCTTCTTTTTCTAATACTTCTGCTAAATAGTATTTTGAAATGCACGATAATCGAAGTCGGCTGAACAGACTTGGGAAAAATGGCCTACGATGACCGATATTTTGCTTGACCCACGAGACGACTCCTTCATAGACCTCTTCCTCGCTCTCGACCATTATATCATCACACGATATCAACCGCTCGAGCTGGTCAGCTTCTAGGAGTAAAAATTCCTCCGACTTCGAGACCTCGATGAATTTCTCGATGATAAAATTCTCGGCTTTTATCAACAGCTTTTTGCAGTTGTACCTCTCTGCAAATGCTCGGACAGACAGACAGTTTTCTGGAGTGAGATTAGCTTCCATGAATTCACTTCCTTTTGTCTTAAGGTCATTTATGAGAAGAAAATCAGCAGCAAAAACCAGCTCACGAACATTTTCTTCGTTTAGTCCTGCTTCGCCGGTGTAAATGTAATTCAGCAAGTCGTCCATGATGACTTCACCGAATCCTTCCAGCTCAACCACTTGTATAACGTCATCCAGATTCACTCCATTCAATTCACTTGTAAATAAACCAAGAAAGTACGGACTGCTCGCTGCTAGAATATTCCTGTGAGCGTGGAACTTCTGGCCTTCGACGATTAGAACTGTGTCACATAAAATCTTCTCCTTTCGAAAGCGATTCATACTTTTATATAATTTCCTTCGATAAGCATCGTCTACTGGGACAACATCTTTCTCCGAACCCTCTGACTCCATTGCCACGTTTTAAAAATTTTCCTATTAAAAACAATTTCTATTATCGCTAAAAAGGTTTCCCAAAATCCATCTTCAGATCTTCAAATCTATAAGCTAAAAATTCTATAGTTTAAACAATTTGAAAATTACCGAGATTCATAATATTCGTGATTTCAAAATCGATAAAAGCGAAAATTTCACGTTGTTTTCATCTCAGAAACACGTATACGTCAGCAGGTGGAAATCCATATTTGGAAGCGAATGTTCATTAAAATTCATTTGCATAAATTAATTCAGCTTGTTGAATCACGATGACAAAAATAGCTTCAAAAAACCACTACATCAGTCATTGATCATCTGATTTTTACATGACTTTAGTTTTTAAGTTTTTGTGTTAGTTTTGTTAGTTTTTTAAAGGTATTATTTAGTCAATTTTCGATTTGTAGCTAGACACGTTTGTATGCTTCAATTTCTATTGTTGAACATTTCGATTTTCTTTTGTTGGAGAACATCTTACCACGTGTCATTATTCGAACAATAAACCGCTCTAACAATGTCAAATATACTAGTTAAATAAGTCAAAAACAATGACAATAAAATATGGTTATATTTCTTTCCCTTCTTTAAAGAAATTCAACCAAGATTTTCGTGTCGAAAAAAATTTTTTATCAAACTTTCTTCCTCAATATCGAGTGAAGATAAACGAAAAAACAGTGAAAATATATAGTTACAAACTTTTTTTTCAACTTTTGGCCAAACTAATTATGGTCTAAATTGCCATATTAAACTGGACTTTTATTTATTATTTATACACCAAAAAGGTATTTAAAAAATAATACGTAGGAGGACTATAACCCCCTAGCCTCCCCTCCCACCACTAGTCTCCCGTGTGCCCTACCCCCCTCCTCTACTCCTATCTTTGTGCTGATTTTTCTAGCGATTTATTTATTGTCGATCCCTTTTATTTTGTGTTTTATCATAGGGAAATATTTCGTTATACGAGAGTAGTATTCGCTGGGCTGATGGTTTTCTCGTGGTTTACTCCATCACAGACAGAAACAGCTTCAACAACGCCATCCAGCTAGTGGAAGCAGTGTATGACGGGAAGGGGACGGATGAAGTGCACGTGGCTTTGATAGGCAATAAAACCGATCTGGAACACTTTAGAATAGGTATGTAAGAGCCCTGTCTGTCCCTGTCCGGCCCTGTCCCTCCTCTCCTCTCCTCTCCTCTCCTCTCCTCTCTTCTTGATCACCTTTCGAAAACGAGCATCTCAAACTTGGCTCACCATCAGTAATAATCCCCTTCACATTTCCCTACGCCATCTTGAAAGGTAGCCGTGCGTTTGCATCGAAGCGAAACGAACGGTGAGCTTGCAATGATATAGACCCTTTTTTAACACCTTAGACAATTATTCACATGTCTCTATCATTGCAAGCTCTCCGTTCGTCTCACTTCAATGCAAAGGCCAACTAAACCGTGAATGAGACTATTATCCATCTACGTCTTCTGTCCCATTTGTTACAGTGACTAAAGAAGAAGGAAAGTCAGCAGCCGCGCAGTTGGGTTGTATGTTCTTCGAAATATCAGCCGCCGAAAACTACGAAAACGTTCAAGTGGCTTTGAACTCGTTGTTCCGTAAAGTAACCATCCACAAGAAACTGATGATGAACGGGAAAGCGAAAAGGAAAACCTCTAGCTCCGAAAAGAAAAAATACGGCTTTGGAAATGGGTTATTTAAACGAAAAAATGAAAGGAAAAGTGTGCAGCGAAAGTTTGATTTCATCTGAAGCAAGTTACTTTTGATGGACTCATTCTTTCCCAGAATCCTCAAGAATTGACACGTGACCTTCGATCGACTCCTTCATACCCAGGCTCTTTCATTCGTAACCATGCTCCTGATGGGATTGTCACGTGACCTTCGATCGACTTCTTCATACCCAGGCTCTTTCATTCGTAACCATGCTCCTGATGGGATTGTCACGTGACCTTCGATCGACTTCTTCATACCCAGGCCCTTTCATTCGTAACCATGCTCCTGATGGGATTGACACGTGACCTCGATCGACTCGTACTATAAGCACACAGAATCCATTCGTACCCAACCTTTTCTCGCGATCATATGCACACTCATTCGTAATCAAGCTCTTTACTGAGTTAAACACCGACTTTATTTATCATTTCTTATACAAATGTTGCTGAGTCAGACTTCGAAAAATAAGGAAGCAACAATTGTTGACGTAATTTTCTTGAAAGTTCATTCTTACAAAGACTTTTTCTTCGAATTCTTACCAAGACAAGTAAAAAAAAAGATTGAAAATAAATACTTGACAGACTGATTAAACGAGATTTTGTCGAAAAAATGCAAGATGTTTGCGGTAATATATTCAAACTGGTTAAACAGGTAAAGCAAGTAGCAGGCGTGAAAATAAAAACAAGTGAAGCTGGTTAAGCCTGTTTTCCAAATGTGCGAATTGTTATCAAAAAAGGATGAAAGATCGTGAAGGTAGTTGGACAAACTGGTCAAACTTGTTTCATAAGTACAAGGATTAGTCGGAGCAGTCAAACCTGTTTTACAAGTATGCAGTAATGTGTGAAAAAAGTTAATTTAGAAGTTTTGCGAATAATATCCTTTCGAAGTGTAATATTTCAGTTATTCGATTTCATCTTTCCCAAAGCGTTCCAAACCATCTGATCGAACTTAAGCACAGTCGTCATGGTAGCCTCTCGGTCAAGACGGAGAAGTTCCTCAACAGGTGAAGGAAGTTTGTCGTTTTCCTGCTCAACGTCCCTTGGGGCAGTTTTCTGGAATATTCTAGCATCTTCCTTTTCATGCGCAACATTATTTTGAACGTGTCTCCTTCTTCGTCCATGCTTTCGTCTTTTCTTCTGCTTCTTCTTTCTCTTGTTCTTTCGTCTTCCGCCTCGTGGTTCCTCGACATCCTCGTCCAAGCCTTCTTCCTCCTCGCTGTAAACTTCTTGTTTTGGTAGCTGGTGAGCATTGGCCCCGAGTTGGTTCTCACTGAAAAGAAAAAACGGTTACTAAGACTTGAAAATACCTCTTGTCATTCTCGTGAGCCAGTTACATTTAGTTAGCGGACCACGCACAAGGCGCATGAGTAAATATCTAGGGTTGCATCAAGATGGTCACGGGATGCCTGTCACCCACTTTATTATTATGCAAATGTATTTTGGGTGAGGATAACATTCAAGTTTTGGATGAGAGGGAAACATTCCACGATAGGACAGGAAATGACGTCAAGGGAAACTAAGCAATAACGAATTAGCACGGCACGGAATATATAAGCTTATTAACTTACTATGCGTTGGATTGTCTAGTGTCTTGTAGTGTTGCTACAGCTGCAATGCTTGCCAAGATGGATCTGGCTGAACTAATTGAAATAAAAATAAAAGTATAAGTTGTAAAATAATATAAATATTTTAAGAGGGTGCCCTCGATAACCATCCATCCATCCCTTCCTTCCTTCCTTCCTGCCTTTCTTTCACACACGCCACCCAAAATGCTTGATTGATCAAAAGTCACGCTACCATTGCTCTCTCACTCAAACAAAAAACACCTCTAATACTCACGGTATTGCGTTGCCAAGGAGACTAGTGATGGTCTCGTACACATAACAACAAATACACCAACAACTGGATGGCTGTCCATTCCAAATGGCTTTGTACGTAAAATGTTCTAAGTACCTCCAAAGTCTGGCATCATGTCCTGAGTCTGTTCAAAGAAAAACGAAAAAAGAGAGAGAGCTCACTATTTAATGAAACGACCCGGAATATATTTCCAAAACAGTTGAACTTTTACTAGAATCACGGAATACTTTATTACATTTTTAGACGTAGTATAAATCCCAAATTCGTTAGTTTCTCATTATTTGTACATTATATTTTTGCATAATTATTTTAGGAGCCTGTATTTTATAACTTTATTTCTAAATATTTCAAATTTATATCCTTCAATCACCGATTAGCGCAACCCTTTTACTTTTTTTCTATTTTTGCATTTTGCTATTAGAGTGCTCGCACTAAACCCGTGAAACAAATACTAATTTTTAGTACTAAATAGTGATAATCAAACAATAGGAAACAAAGGATTCTGTATGAATTACTACTAATTAGTACTAAATATTATTCACGGGTTTAGTGCGTGCACTCTAACGCTTACGCCATTATTAATTTACAGCTGTCCGTCAAAAGGAATAAAAAATTTAAATATTCGCGCCAGCAACAAAGCAAGCCTAATACTGATGATCAATTGTTTTCTACGCCAACTTCATGAAAAGAATCCGTCAAATAGTTTTAAGTCCGACCGCGGTGTATTAAGCTTCATTGTTGTCAATATTCTCCCGGCTGATTTTGATTGATGTTCGTGTGTCTATTCCTGTGAGCAGAAATAGTAAGCCTTCGTTGTATGTACCTCGTGCTCTAGAATACCGTGGTTAGCTCAATATCTTCTTTACTTTTAAATAGCATAAAGTATTCATAATTCGGGTGCCTTGCGAAATTACTCATTTATAACACGCAGTTACAAGTTAAAAGCCTTGAGATTTGAGATGATTTGCAGTCCATTTAGGAGCAAGTAAAGCAGTTCAGCGTTTGTTATTGGTAAGTTTAAACGTTGAATTGTTTGCACTTTGAAACAAAATAGTTTTAGTTCTATAAGTCTTTTATTTATTATGCTCATATTTTTTAATCTATGGGACTGGTTTTCTTGATGAAAACACGATTACAATCTTTGCTTTACACGACTTAAAATACAACTATAGCTTAGCGAGTCTTACGCCGCAAACAATTTTCAAAAATTTAACTAAAATTAAAAAAAGTGAATTTCAGTGGTTAGAACTGGTAAGAAGATATTTTTTGCGTTTTTTCCGAGAAAATATCGACAGCTCAAAGCGACAAACATGCAAGGTTGCTCGTCTTAAACCTGCTGCAACCGCTAAAGATATGTTTTTCGGAACTTAGATGGTCAACAAACGCATGCAGTAAATGTATTATCGCACGCGATGCGATTCTCTGGTCACCAAAGAAAACAAAAATTTCAAACCTAATTTTTAGCAGTACTTACGGGGGTCGTAATCTCCTTCGTATGTGTGGTCGCCCTGTGTCATGTCGAATGGATAGTTATAGTAAATCCATGAGATTACCACCAGAAGAAGGGCCAATCCCAGGAGATAATATATCATCCTCTTACTGAAGGACGCACTTGCGTGCGATGCTAATTAGTGGCTAATTACGTCCATGACATCAAAAATGGTAACGTCATATTCTAATTAGATTCCGCGCGCGCGTTTTTACACAGGGTGACCATGACGGTTCTTGCTTAGGTTATGTTTCGAAGTGGGACAATCTGAGTCGAATAAAATTCTTTTTGGAGTTGTCGGATTTTTTTCTTAAAGCTTTCCTGCGCACACATTTATTTAAAATGTAAATCTGTTTTATATTTTGTACGAATGCTTACACTGTTTAAACTAAACAACATGAAACGATTTTTTTCCTTGTAAGAACAGGGAATGATTGCTTAATATTCCGAGTTGAGATTAGATTTAGAAGTTAATTTAAATTACCTGTCTACTTCCAGATTCTGTGTAACATCATGATTATCCAGACCCCACAAACTTCAATCCCGGAAAGTCTAAATTTGTTTAAGAACCTTGATTGAGTTTAGATTGCCGTCAAAAATGCTAGTAACGACCGCACGCGCGCGTCTGATTTTACCGCCAAAACCACAGAAACTCCCTGATTCTTGACCAAATGTCGAGTGGCCGGGAACTGACTCACGGTCTTTGTCGTTTCCGGTTCTTATTAAAGGTTAATTGGTATAAATAAGCGTTATTGGGATAAAATGAATTACTAGCCAAGGAAGGAAAAATTTCGAGCCAAGGTCAAGGTGAGCGAGGTTGCAGAGTTGTTTTTCGCTCGGGCTCATCTTGATGGTCGTCCGCAAAACCTCTTGGGATGCTTCTACATACTTCTCTAAAAGGGTGTAATCTATTCTATCAATGTACATGTGTTTTGTTTAATCAATGAATATAAAAGTATTAGTCAGCGGAATGGTCACGTGGTCTGAAATGTGATAAGATTGAGCCATGCTGAATGGATATATTACTTATACAATACTCAAGGGAATGGTCATGTGGTCTGAAATGGGACAACATTGAGCCATACATTAGTCCGGATAGTGTCCACTTCACATCCATCATATCACAAAAGAGCGCGTTGGTTCTCTCCCTTGATTCGAGGGTGTTTCTAGGGTTTCTCCGGTTTTCCTCCCTCCACAAAACCTAACAACAGTGTAACAAGCTAAATTCCATGTGAGCCATGCCCTGGCTTCCATGAGCCTAGAGGTTGTTTCAGAGTATCGATAAAATTTGTAGGTACAAGTTCACCGTTAAACTTGATTACACTTAAGATTGAACAGATGAGCTGGTGTTTATGGCTAGACGTAAACGTAGAAACATTTCACTGATGTAAAATAACGATCAATCGCGCAAACACCACAAGACAAAAAACGTCAATTTGACAGAATATTGATGCTGAAACAACAACACGAAAATTTATTTTCCGGCGGAGAAACTCAAGCATTTTGGAATTAAGAAATTCCTTCTTCGTTATCAGTTGGGTAATCTTGATTTTATTACCTCACTTCACTTGAGAAGATAATTGATGACAACAACAGCAGAGAAATTCCATTTTCAAGGATGAAAGTCTTCCGCAGAGACTACCAAGGTTGATGGTTTTGAACTTGGTCGTCACCTCCCACAACCAGCGGTGCTTAAGATCCTTGAGTCTAAATAGCAAAGAAAACTGATGCCGGACTAAGATATTTTTAGAGTCCTTCCGGCCTTAAGTAGTCTTACAAGTGCTCGGGTTTCTTTGGTAGCTTTATAAAAATACTTCCTCTGGTTACTGAGCTATGTAAAGGCAACTAGCACAAACCTTCTCGTAAACCCAAGCACAAAATTAATATCTCTGCATACTGAAGAGATACGTTGGCTCGAATAAGATGTTTCTTGCTAGGGCTAGCTTTATTATAAGTTTAAATATTATCCTTGCTGTCGCAGAGTCGACAATTGAAAATCAAACTTGCAGTGGAGAAGACTGCAAGCTCAACAGTAGAACAGAAGTTGGCAGAACACCACCACAACCAGGTACTTGAACATTTTTGTATTTGTATCTTTTAAAGATATTCAAACCCTTCTTTCCTCGAGGGAATAGTTTAAATTTAAGGCTGTTAATTTAGAAATATTAATGTGAAATCTCATTTAGCTTTGCAATGAGTCAACACGTTTTAAAGCTTAGCAGTTTAATGCAGATAACTAAAATTGGCTTCGAATTTTGCAAGTTATTAGTAATCTTGACCTCAAAACACGTCAATTTTTTATTGATTTAGAAGAGGTAGAATTATATGACCTGAGTGAATTCATGTTTTGTTTGACAAATCATCATCCATCAAGTCTCTAACTTGATCGGTAGCTTGAGCTATGCATTTTAAGTCGATCTTTTAGGCTTCAAATTCCGACATTTCTGCGCATTCATTCGAAGAGGAAAATCATACTTACTCACGAAATATTTAAAACTCTTACGACGACGAGAGGCCGAGAGATATCTTATTTTCCAAGTCAATTTTTATTTCAGGAAAAATGCTACTTTTGAGTCGAGGTTTTAGCATCTGGTCTGTCTTGAGTCAGACGACATTAGTCTGCATCCTTGGTGCGCTTTCTGACCTGAAAAAAGAAAATAGGTTTGATAGAATTAATGGGGATCTAGCCATATCTTCCACTCTGTCTGGTTACAGTGCTTGTCTGCATTTATGCGAACACTTAGTGACATCTGGTCTATTACTTGTTAATGAGCTTTAAATGATGCAGTCATTAAACATGAACTTCGCCGGTGAAGACGAAAAAATGATCGTCATCTTTGCAACGCGGACTTTTATAAAGCATAAATCAAGCTTAAAAACGAATTCACAATCTATTATTTCTGCATTCTAAGACTTCAAAATCGAGGTAGTTCGGAGAGAAACAGCAGTGAAATCTGAAAGCGCAATATGTATTTTTTCTTGTCTATCACTTTCGCGCTTCGGGCTAAACGTATCTTATACGACATTAATTGGTTATCAAGTTTAATAGAAGCTATTCTCTACGTATCGTTTTAAGCACCTATTAAATAACTTGAATTTCGAGTTCAAAATCCTTCATTCCTTAGACTTAAAAAGTGCGTAAACGAAAAGGAATTTGGAATATTCTCGTTAAAGGTGTTGAAAATTCGCCTGTTTGTCTAGAACACAGGAAAAATACTCCAAGAAAAAATTTCTCTATATTATTCCTTATGCGGGACATTTCTTGACTTGAAGTTTTTAGCTTTGAAGCTTGCAAATGAACTGGTTATATGACAAAAACAAGCGTTTATACACAATTTCGCGCATGAAAGATTAGAATGAATATTCTGTACTTTTAGTATTTCATTCCTTTGCTTCCGGCTTTTTAACAGTTTTAAGTGTGTRGTACAGCTTCTTTAAATCTACTGTTTGCAATTGATTTTTCTTGTCTCTTCTTTCCCTTTCCTCGTCGTGTTCTCGATCCTATCTTTCATTTCTGGACTTTCCATGTTATAATTTTTTATTTTTGCTTTACTAGTATTATTGGAATAGCTAAGTTTACGAAAGAAATTAATGCATTCTATATTCAATTCAACACGAGTTATCCATGCCCTAACTTAGATCAACCCAATTTTGGAGTATCGATAAAATTTGAAGGTTTAGGTAAGGTAATTATTATTCTTGCCAAACTTGGGTGGTGCGCGCTACAAATGCGCTACCTCTCACCATTGTAGCCGTGAGTTCACCTCGAAGTTACTCCCATGTCTTTTTAACCTTTGTAAAAGAAAGAAAAGAATAATACTCAAGGAAATGACGTGTGGTATAAAAGAAAACCAAGGTCAAGATCAAAGTGACATCATATTACAGACCACATATGGGCAACATATTTTAATTCACTTGGCAGTCCCTTGAGTATTACTTCTTTCTTTATGAATTTCGCTTGGATTGCAACTTTTTTATGGATAAGACTCTCACAATGAATCCTTCTCACAGGATGTTTAATTTGAAATGGAAATGTTCTGCGTACCATTCTCTTGAGTATTATTTCATTTTCTGTCTGCATCGGTAACATTAATTAGGTTGACTTAAGCTCACAAAGAATCCTCTGCACGGGATATAGTATAAAGAAAACATTACGCCCAAAAGCAACATGTGTATTCAGTATAAGGTGGAGTCGACAGAAAGGCGTGATGGGCGGGGATTTACCTAATTTATTTCCTAATAGTCGTCTTTACTTTTTGGATTGTTTTCCCATTTTAGACGACGTGCCATTCCCTAAACAATCTTGTATATATTACTTAGGAGACATCCCTGTCGCGACTGGTCACCTTAACCTACGCGCGCCGCGTCTATGTATGTGTTTTTATTTCTGGTTAACGGATTCCACAAGTCAGTCAGTTAGTCCAGGATTTATCCAAATCTCTTCCGTATTGCTAAAAGATTTATGTCAGGTTGTTTTTAAAACAATTAGCAGACAGGAAGGGTATTCCTAATGACGGAAATGCCTCGGTAAATCCAGATCTTAATGTTTTTAGAAAACACAGAGACTGGAATTTTTCTGATTCACGGGCTCGGAAGACAGCCTGTTTGGCGAAAAATAAATGTAACTCCGAGATAATCTGAACAGATATAGACTTCAAACTGATTTAAACACGAAGAACGCTAGAAGGCTCGCGCGACTGAAAATCTTTCTCAAACCCATGTTACCAGAGAAAAATTATTCGAATTATATTTTAGGGATTTTTTGTTTTATGATAACGAATATTTCCATGTACTGTTCAATGAGACACGATGTGCAGATGTTTCATTTGACCCCTGTCAGCGAGGGACCAGAATGACGCAGTTTCTAGAATGTAGTAAAATACCGTAAACGTGAGCTTGAGGGGAAAGCATTCCATTAAAGAAAATTCAAGTTTGCTGAAGCTAGCTTTAGTATATCCTGCAGCATGTTCAAAATAATGCACAACAAGACAAATTCAGATATTATTAATACATTATTATTGTATTAGACGCAGTTGAGAAAACTGATTTTCCATGAAATTTATTTTTTGCTGTCTCTCATTAAGATAAAAGGTGTAAAATTGGTATGCTTAAGATTCTGGGACGCATTTGTATGACAATCTGTTTTTCTTAGTCTTTTCCTTCCTCCCTTCTTCCTTCCTTCTTCATCCTTTCCTTCTCTCTCTCAAATACACATCCAAACTTCCTCAATCTGCGCGTTTTTCAATTTTCTAGTTTTTCTCACTTCAAACAACATACAAATGTTTCTGTATTTTTGCCCTGTGGAATCTCTTTGGACTATAGAATGCCACGTAAGCAATGCCATTACAATGACGCGCTTGGACCGGCATTACTTGATGTTATATAGAGTATCAATAAAGATGATTAAAACATGTAACATGCGTTTATTTGAAACTACCGCAATGTCGACAAAACCGCAATCAGTGGCACGTATTACCGCGCTTTGACCTCCATCGATAAACAGATAAAATACAATGACCGTACGTTTAAGTGTAAGTTTAATGAACAAACTGTTCTGCGTTGAGAATGTTTTGCATTAGTCCGGTAAGGAACAGGAATTACGGTGATTCTTAGCAAACGTGGTGCATTCTGGTCTAGCTTGGGTACAAGAATCTATCTATCATGCGTAATATTATGTAGCTTTTGCTTTTTCTAGACCAGGATGCACCCTTCATTTTATAGCTTAAAAAACCTTATTTTGTCAAAGCAGAGGAAGAAAATGAAGATACGCGGCTAATGGTTTGAAGTGAACTAGTGATTTGAGCGACATTCGCGAAAAGCCATTATTTTTCTCGTAAGATGAAAAATTAGATTTTGATTGCGGTAAACCTATTGATCCTAGCCGGAGGGACCTCTAGTACTGATACGGTCTTTTAATAGTCTTAATACCCAGATATTTAAACAAATGGAACTTATACGATGACATTTAGATAAGTTGACGTCTGAACACGATGTTGCGGTCGCGACGTGTTGGTGTGTAGATGTTATCGCTGTTGATCTTATTCAAATGTTTATTCAGGGCAGGAACAGACGCTGAATAATTATGACATTGATCAATATTTTTTATGAGTTCACAATCAATAAATTATTATAAATAATAAATAAATTATTAAATCATAACTGCAAGTCCGAGAGAGTAATTAATTAAAGGAATAAAAAACATGCAAAGACAGACAGACAGACAGACAGACAGACACACAGACAGACACAGACAGAAAGACAGACAGACAGAAAGACGGACGGACAGACAGACAGACAGACAAAAGTGCTTCACATTGACTTTCAATGTAATTTTCTTTCTGTTTTAGTAAAAGCAAATGATTTGAAATGCTGCGCTTGTGGACAAGCTACCTACAGGATGACATTCGTTGGTAAGTAGTACTGGAGAACTATAACCTTACCTCAAGTTAATTTTGTCCATCCCAACACATTAGCAGTAGCAGTAGCAGTAGCAGTAGCAGTAGCAGTAGCAAAGTCTTTTCTTTGACACTTTTATTCTTCGTTTGAATCAAGGAAAATGGAGTCGTCTCACACATCCACGTCATTTCCCTGGGCCAATGTCAAGCTGGTCAGCCCTGATTGGCTGTTCCCATAGCAACGAATATCACATGTGGAGATATGGTAATCTCGCGTCCCTTGGAGTTCAACGACTCGGTGAGTGGGGTTCGACGAGCAAACTAGAGGAAGAAATGAGAAAACAAGGAAATAAAGTTTTAAAGTAAGTATTTGATCAATTGGACTCGAACGTAAATGCATCAATTTGCGCCAAATCCACAGGAACCCCAACAATATATATATAATTAATGGGAAAAAGCATTTAGTCACACATTTCTAAGACTATCAGTGCCACAGGATAGTAATACTCTCTTAAAAAAACACTTTTTAAATTTATTTATACAATATATTTTTCTTATTTCAGTATAATAAAGATGCCTGGCCTATGGTGGGGTGTTGGGCGTTCAGTCATCGAGTTTCGAGCCGACCAGACTCACAGTTTACTTAGTGTTATGTCACGTATAGTACCGAGCCCGGACTGGTACGTGGGCGTTGACAGCCTGAACCTATGTCATGTGAACTGCACGTGGAAAAACGAAGAAACAGTTGATCTATTCCCATTGGATGCAGGTATGTCACGTGATAATTCTTACGCTCTTAATTGGATTGAGTCACATCTGACCCATTTCAGTCACATCCAATTCATCTCAGTCATGACATCCAATCCATCTCAGTCATATTCAATCCATCTCAGTCACATCCAATCCATCTCAGTCACGTACAATCCATCTCAGTCACATCCAATCCATCTCAGTCACATCCAATCCATCTCAGTCACATCCAATCCATCTCAGTCACATCCTATCCATCTCAGTCACATCCAATCCATCTCAGTCACATCCTATCCATCTCAGTCGCATCCAATCCATCTCAGTCACATCCTATCCATCTCAGTCACATCCAATCCATCTCAGTCACATCCAATCCATCTCAGTCACATCCAATCCATCTCAGTCACATCCAATCCATCTCAGTCGCATCCAATCCATCTCAGTCACATCCAATCAATCTCTGTCACATCCAATCTATCCCAGTCACATCCAATCCATCTCGGTCACATTCAATCCATCTCAGTCACATTCAATTCATTTCAGTGGTTTCGATTTAGGAATTGAGATATCTTACTTATCGTCGCAAAATATTTTTCATACCTGTTGTCTTTCTTTTCCAGGAACAGACGATGGAATTAACTTTATATCCGTGAACGCCAGATCCAACCCTCAGCAGCCAATCAGGAGAATCGATACACGCCTTCACAATCATCCAATGTCTTCGTTCTATTTACCTGACAATGACGCTATACGTCCTTTTGCGCAGATCAAGATAGAACGGTTAGGAGTCAGCGGGTCATGTTTAAGGAGTAATATGAAAGGACCTTTCCCGCCAAAACCTGGTAATTGTAGCACCACACTCCACCTTCGAAATATCTTCTTACCCCATCAATTTATCCATCTATTTTTTCATCCTCCTGATTACTCTTAATTCCATACATCCATTTTATCCATCAATTCATCAATGCATTCATTCAATCTTTCCATCTTTCCATCCTTCCACAACCCATCTATCTACCCACAGACCCACCGACTCACCGACCCAACAATCGATCCTTTGTCCATCCGATAACTCGCACACGCACGCACACACACACGCACCCATCCTTCTCTCATCCGTCTATAGATGACTTGAATTATAGCGTCATTTACTGCTACCGGAATCTCTTGCACACCTTTTTTGTTAAGTCAATTGTCTTACTATTTTCATGAGGAAATACAAATTGGAATAAGAAAGAAAATTCGCGAGGAATTTTAGTAGTGGTAGCTGTAAAATGACGCCATCATTAAAACGGCCTATTGCCTCTTCTATTCATTTTCTCCCCCTTCTTTTTTTTTTTTTTTTTTTTTTTTTTTTTTTTTTTTTTTTTTTTTTTTTTTTTGTCTAAAACTGTCTTCTAACTCTCCAATCCTTGTTCATATATCAGTATTATATTTTAATACCTCTATTTTTCTCCGTTTTAATCCAGCTCGAATAGATTGTCAGGTCTCTCGGTGGTCGTCATGGACACCATGTTCTGTCACGTGCGGTCTGGGGAAACAAGTCCGTGGGCGTGACGTCATAGTTCAACCAATGCATGACGGGATACCTTGTCCGAATTTATACGACTACAAAATCTGTGATCTCCAAACATGTGATGGTGAGACTAATTTTAACGCAGCCAGTTTATGTTATTTGCAGAACTAACTTCATCATTAATGCATGTTCTGGTTTTTCCAGATAATAATAATAATAAATGTTTGGTATCTGCCTGGTCAACGTGGAGCAAGTGTACTGGAACTTGTGGGATAGGATTCAAAGTGCGCAAGCGCACAATAATCCGCCAACCAGCTTTGGGTAACAAAACATGTCCAAAACTGATCAAGAAAAGGCGTTGTCGTTTATCTCCTTGTCAAAAAGACAGAGGAAGAGGTTTGTATTTTTGTGCCTTTTTATGTTTTTATTCTTCCTGGTCACCTTTTTTGCTTACATTATTTTAACAGACGAGGTCGTTTAATAGACTTTTTCTATCTCTTATGCTCGAGGGTATAGTATACTCACGCACAGACGAACTGTGCCGTGCCGACCGTGCCTACTCCTTGTCCGGGTATTTTGATTGGACAAGCACTGATGTCGCGCTCTGTGATTCGTTTAAAAGATGTCATCAATTCCGTGTTCCATGAACGTGCCTCGTGTCATTGTGCTTCACAAAATTTACTCTCCAGGCATGCATACTAAAAAAAAAAAGCTAAATAAGACTATTTAAAATAAATAAATTATAGCGCCCTTGTTCGATGAGGGTAGCACTTAATACTGCCTAACAAAGCACCGACCTGCATGGAAAAATCCCTTGAATCATCTGAGAAATCCAACTAGAAACTGTACTCGCTTACGACACCCGAGGGCGCAGGAATCAAACCCGCGGGTCGCATCGTCGAGATGCACTGTATTTTACACTTGATTCTCGTCGTATCTGTTTTTCACATTTTCACATCTCGTATTTTATTTTCAGCATCAGCAGCCGATTGTGTTGTATCGGCCTGGTCTTCGTGGTCAGAATGCAACAGACAGTGCAACCGAGGGAAGAAAAAACGAACAAGACAGATATTAAACAAAGCAAAAGATGGAGGGAGAAGATGCCCTCGACTGCAAGAAAAACGCAAATGCCTCGTTAGAAAATGCCCGAAAAAATAAATTAGTTACAAGACATCACGATAAAACCGCATAACAGGTTGTTACTAAAACAGGGAATGGGGAATGACCGGGAATGGGGAATGGCAGACTGGGACGAACGATCAGCGGTATTACCTTAGTTGCGACAAGAACAGTCATAAATTAGCTGGATATGAATCTAAATACTAAAAGTAATACTTACTGATTATCAGTCTCCTTCTTATCGAACATTTTTAGTACGATTACAAACCATTGCCGTGGAATATTTCACAAATGTTTCATTATAAAACAGCTAGATTACAAGCGTAAGCGCCATGACACTTTTCAAGGGTAATACCGCTGATCGCTCGTCCCAGTATCCCATTCCCCATTCCCGGTCATTCCCCATTCTCCATTCCCTGTTTTAGTATCATCCCACATGAAAATTAAGCGGATAGCTGTTGTTTTCTTTTCACACATTCCATCTTGAATGGAAAAGTTGTCGAACAAGCTTGACAAAACCCTAAAAACCTATATATTCTACTTAATATCAAATACTATTTATTGTTTTGCAAATAATGAGTAAACGGTAATAAATTGGCGAAGAAGCCAAAAAAACTAACTTTAATAATTTTAAATTTAAATTCGTACGAGAAAATTTGTAGAGAAAAACTAGAGAGCTTTTCACTGACCGCTTCACTGACCCTCCTGCGACAAGAAAAATGACAGACAAGGGTTTTCGTACCCATGTAAAACCAAATCAATATATCCTCTTATATTTCGTTTCTTATCAACATACTATCTATCTCAAAAGAAAGCAACATGCTCAAAGTTTTCAAAACTTTTGAATTTATGGAAATCACTTACATACAGTGAGGAGAAATTCAAGATTTTGTTTTAGAACTCCTTAGTTGACCTGCAAAGAGCAATCATAAGAGAATGTWTGGGAAGCAAACAGGATTTTTGACCAATTTTTTACCGGTTCGATATTTACTCCAAAACAGGATTTTCTTGAACGTATTTCATAGTTATTCGATTTCCCACAATTAAAAATGAGATGCCAAAAGAAGAAGTTGCATTTTTCAATGACCCCTTTACAAGGCTCAGTGTAGAATCCARTAACAAAAATGGCAGACAAGGGAATAGGAGCCCAACCAAACCATGGCTTAATCCTCTTTCATTTCTATCTGAAAAGGAAGCCAGATGATCATAGTTTTCACAACTTTTTAATTTAAGGTTTTAACTGTTTTAGAGCCAGAGAAATTCAAGATTTTGGTTTACCATTCCTTCCCTATCTGATGTCTATTATCGGTTTAAAATGTCTCCAACTTCGTTTTAAACTTGTTGTTCGTCGYTTCGTCCATGATGAGTTTGGCGTTTAGAAATCCATCCTCACTGGCCTCGATTTAGTGTAAGATGTCTTCGTGATACAACCAACTGGAAGGATAAAGAATAATGTGCATGACTTGTGACTGAATGKTGTGTTTTGAGGAMAAGACTATATCCCGGGCGCAGAGTGCGTTTCACGGCYCCCTCACAGCCCAATTTACATACATTTACTGTATTTKACATGTATCACTCTCCGCCCGGGATGTAGTCCTCGTCCGTATCATGAATCTTTCACTATGAAAAACTACTTAAAGCCACTTTTTTTAATTCCCAAAACTCAAAGCATATGAAGAGATCATAACRAAGGGTACATTCTGTGTGACTGTRAAAAACGCAAGGTATTGACTAATCCAGTCTTTATAGTAGTATAGTTATAAACTTGTTCTGCATTCACAGAGTCAGTTCTCATGCTCACTACCAATGCAATTATTTCTGACCAATTTTTTATCAGTCCCATATTCTTTCCAAAACAAGATTTGCTTTATCGTATTTGATAGTTATTCGAGTTCCCACAATTAAAAA